TTATAAGTGTAAACATTTAAAATAAGAATTACCTGATAGCGTCCTTTTTTAAGTCATATTTTCTACAAACAGTAAGGATTGCAGTTTGTGCTGAACATTTCACCTGGCAGATTTTTTTTTAAACAGGTTGTTAGAAGCAAAAACCAAAATGCATTATAGAAAAAAAATCATATCATTAAAGTCCAAGTCTATTTGATAGATTATTCTGATGACTTGTATACTAAGTGAGGAGAACCATCTGGAATAAACTCTCAATTAATTCCTTTGTATCGGGTGTCAGCTTTTCCCTGCATGTTCATTGCCAGTTGACGAGTGTTTGGGTTCCTCCATGTTTCATTTTCAGACTAAGTGACACTTTGCATGAATAAGGGATTTTATGTAATAAGTACCTTACAAAGAAGATGTAGCTAACAAAGAAATGCAGCAGCCCAAAAATAGGAAGAACATGAAGTGTGACTGGCTCTTGATCATGAAGTGACCTGAAGGTAGAAATAAATTTATATTTGTGCCTTGTTTGCTTCTGTGTGATGCAGGTCATCTAGACATGATATTTTCATATTAGGATTTTTTTTTAAACCTGCTGGAGAAAACAAAGTGCTGGAATTTCTAACAATACACTTCATCCATAGTATTCAAAGCAGCAAAAATATCAAACTCTTTTCCTTGTTCTTACTGTTTTCTGAATTGTTAGTCTTGTGTTTGTCACTGTAATCCTTAGTATTAGAAATCTTTTAATATTGAGGTTGTTCAGGTGTTGTCTGTTTATATTTTTGTTATCTGATTTTTAAATCTGAGCTCGAAACAGCTTAAGCTTCAGCAAGTTCGTTCCATTGCAGTGTAAAACTAAAATACTGAGCTCCCATTTAATATGGGAGGAGAAAACCTGTATTGGCCATTTAAGAAATACCCTGGGTAGCAGATTATTAGAACTGTCTTTGCAGTGTGCCAGGGGATTGCTTGCATTCTGTTGAAACAGTGAGGACAGCTTTTTTTTTTTTTGCCACCAGAAGGCTTCTTTTGGCCTCGTTAGTTTTTAACCTTCAGCCTATGAGTTCCTGAAACAAGTACGTTCTTGGGCAGAGAGGCTGCAGGGTCAGTGTTCTGTCAAGGAAAATGGATTACTGATTTCCAGTTGTTCTTTGAGGGCTCCTCCTTTGCCATTGTTGGGAAATACAGTGAAAGAATGGTTTCTTTGCAGGCAAAATCCAGGTATTTGAGAAACAATCTGACCTGAAAGTGGAGAGATGCCTTTTTGCACTGAAGATAACATTTTGATACAGCTCATGCAAAGACCAGCAGATGCCTGTATCTCTTAACATGCAGTAATTTTAGGACTTTGCTTTTATTTTTCAATAGTCCTTTCTGACTTGTGGACTTAATTTGATCCATATTATGTAGTCCAGCCAGCAGTGTAATGGATAGTACAATATTCATGACTGACCAAGACCTATGAAAATTATGTAAACCAAGACACCTATCTTAAGTTATGATTGGGATTTAGTGTCTTGCAGCTCTCGGGTTTGCATCCAGGGACTCTTAATTCCTTTTTGTCTTTTTGATGCCATTTAATTTCACGTGACTCCTTGAAACCAGAGGGAACAGATCCACAGAACTTCTACAAAGCAGCTCTGATCAGAAATGGTAAGATCAGCAGAGTCTACGGTGCTGACTGGTGTGATGCAGTTGCTAACACTAAACTGCAGTGGGTGTTTGGCTCAGGGTCAGTGGAAGAAAATTTCTGCCAATTGTAGGTATTTGAGTTTTCCCAGGAGGCTTGGCTGCAGAGCTGCTGTCTGACAGAGCCTCTGCAGTCTCTTCAGTTCTCAGGGTAAAAGCGCAGCAAAGCAAGCGCTATGAACCTGATGTTTGCCCAGTATGCCAGGTGCCTATAGTTACTGAACTGGGACAGTCATTCCTCTTGAAGCCTGATCTGTCTTTGAAATTTCCTGTGGCTCCAACAATAAGTACTTATCTGGACTAATACTACTAATTTGAGAAACACATCTCTACTTTGAACTTTTTTTGCTTTGAAGATACTACTGAATTAGTTGAACAATATTTCAGTTTTTAAGAAGCAGCAAACTGGCATCCTTTTATTTATGGCCCCAGAGATTCACATCTTACCTACCACATAACTGCAGGTAATTGGTGTCAGTACAAAAGGATTGTGTGTATCTGACTTAAATATAAATGGGAGTGATGTTTTGATTGTCTGTCTGTGTTGAAAAAGGTAACTTGAATGGCAGGGCAATTTATAGCATTGTGTTGGGGGGTGCTTCGCACACCATGCATACCTATGTGTTTTATACTTTCATGTATATGCTGATGGGAAACACGAATGAGTTCATACTCAGTATTTACAGCTGACTATTACTGTGCTGACTGAAAGACGGTATACAAATAGCCAGGACCTCTTAAGAGGAACCTGAAAGAATCAGATGACTTCTACTGGCTTTGGCAGGTGTTTGAGCCCTTTCTGCACCGCTCTGAAGTGCGCATACCTTTACATACAGAAGACATCCACTAGCTATTAGGCAGGGTAAAACAGCATTTAAATGCCACTCAGGTTTTGCAATGTGGTTGTCATAGCTCTTTTAAAATTTTTTTTCCCCTCTCTTCCCCCATGATATTTTGATGTGGGAGAACGCTTCTTAAATCTCAGCATTTTTGGGTCAAATCTGAAACCAACCAAAAGATACATTTTTGCCAGTTTCTTTACTGAAGGATAGATTTTTGCCAATTTCTTTACTGGACTGAAAACAGCCTGAGTTTTGAGCTATTACTTCTGTGTCAAATACAATTAATTTGTATTTGGAATAATACGTACAAATTTTTTTTTGCAGGAGTTCATCTTTTTGTAATTGCAACTAATACATCTTTTAAAATATTCATTTAATTGCAATTTTTTTATTAAGCATTAATGAAGGCATCTATCATGAAATAACCTAGGTGTTTTTAATCATCTAACTTGTTAATATATGTGATTGTACAGATACTATTCTGAAAGCATTCATTTTACTTAGCATACCAATATGCTGCCTACCTCTGGGTGTTCAACATGAATCTTCTTGATTCTCAAGGTTTTCTTCTTGAGAGGTTTGTGGGGCTGGGTTGCTTGGAGGGTTTTTTGTTTTTTGTTGTTGGTTTTTTAATTTTATTTTTGGGTTTATTTGGTTGCTTGCTTTGTTTCATGAAAACCAGAGCTTCGTAGTAGTAAATAGTATAGAAACTACATCTATGAAGACACTACATCTAATCATCCTTTCCTGTGATCTTAAAACAAGTCAGTGTGACCCATAAAAAAGCTTTGCCTCAATCTGGAGAGAACCCGAAACTAATCCTGACTAAAGGGTTTTTTTGGGGTTTTTTTAATCATCTCAGTGGGTGCCAGTGATGTTTCTCAGATCAGTGGTTTTAATTAGACAGTGTCTAATGCCTGAGTCACAACACCTGCAACATAGACACAGCCACAGGAGAAGGTGTGGGTCTGGCCTGGTTCGGTTGTCTTGCTGTTCCTCCCTGTTTTGGTAAATTGTCTATATTGTATCTTTTTTTTTTGAGCTCAATCAATGTGTTTTTTCTTGAAATCTGGATGCCTCTTCAGCTTTTCTCATTTTTTTTTTTTAACAGACATGCCAGTAATATGTTAATATGTTCTGTTAAAATAACGCTTCTCATTTTCAACTGTGAAAATGAGAGGAGCTGATGAAAATAGTACTACAGCATTGTCAAGGCTGTAGTGTGTAATTTTGAGATGTCAATGTGTGTATGCCAGGAAGAATGAAAAAAAGATACACCAACAGTTTATAATTGCTTAAAATGCACTAGAGTTACTGTTAGAGCAATGTATGGAAATATCAGAATTGCTTATATGAAAACAAGAAAGTTATGGCTTGAATTTGATTCCAAGAGAAACTGATTGCTTTAGACCTCTGAAAATCCACTTAACAGCCACCTGGTTAAACATATAGGCTTTGGTGACAGTGTTTGACAATGATGACTGCAAAGAAAAAATATTTAAATAAAATCCTCAAGGGAGAAAGTTGTGAACAAGACTTATTTTTACATTCTTTCCTTTTTTTTTTTAAGTTAGATGAGAAATAAAACCAACTTTTTATTAAGTAATGCAGGGCAATTTTAAATAATCTTTCCTAAGGAAAGACTTGTTTGACAGTGAATAAATGCAGATCGTATTGTAAGAAGCAACATGTAATTCTTGGGCCATCTACAATCAATTTATTGAAGAGTGAGACTCCCATGAGATTATTTTGTGCAGTGACTGAGATACCCCGTACAACTGTGTTCTGTGAAGAAACGAAACTTTCAGAATGCATGGTGTCTATTTTTATAAGCTGAAAATAGTGTTAAAAACCCTGTTGCCTTTGGTAACATTTATACATAAACTTCTGAAGGCTGTTTTTGTAAGATTATCTTTGAATAATTGTTTTACTTTTTATGTGCATGTAGAACCCTTGAACTTTGCTTTCTATATTGGCTGAAAAAGTAACCACTGGGGAGTATGAGGAAAAGGCTCTGCCTTTTCTGAAAAATGGGAAATTAAACTTTTAGTAATAACTGTCAGTTCTTCATTAGCCACAAAGCAAAACAAGTCAGTTGATGTGAAGAGGACATTATCTTTACCCTCATGAGTCACCTCTCAAAATTGTGAAGGAAGAAGCTTTTTTTTTTTTGAAATTTAAATTAAAATGAAATACTTGGAATACTTGATTAAGCCTCAAGCTACTTTTAATTGAGTGCACCTAAACTGCTTTTTTTTTTTTTAAAGAGTTAAACTTCACTCTTAATCTTTATTTCACCTTTTACTATTTCATTGATACATGAGGTCTAGAATACACTGACTGATTAATAACTGTCTTGGAAGAGCTTTTAAAACTGATTGCTTTACAGGGAAAATTACAATTCAAGATTACAGAGATCTCTATCTGTGTTCATCTGCATTTTAAAAATTATCAGTTGGGGCTCACATTTGATGTCCTGGATTAGATCTCGGCTATGGCTAACTGTTCAGCTGCCCTCCTCCCAGTCCTCAAGCAGCTGTGAGCATTGCAGTTAAACGCAGTTGTTGTCTTTCCAGCTTCACGGAAAGAAAGACCAAGAAGAGTGTTTCGGAGAATGGTGTTGTGAACAACCTCAACATCCATGATAGCTGTAGGAGGAGATGATCAGCCATAGGAGAAAAGAAGTCAGCAGTGACTTCTTGCCATCCTTTTGAGATGAGGGCAGTATATAGTCCATAACACCGGTACTTTTTTAGAGAATGAGCAATTTTAGATAGCAAAGTACATAAATGAATGCTGAAGAGTATCTTGATCTGTTTGGATTTTGAGGGCTTTTTTGGGGAACCGCAGAATAATATGATAAAAAGCTTAATGAAGTGACAGAGGATTTTGTTGTAAATGGAGAGGACAAATCAGTATTGATAGTGGGAGTAGACAATATGAAGTTTCTGAGATAAATAGGATGGATTTTAACAAACCAGTTATCTTTAGGATATACAGGACTGGTGAAACTTATCCCTCCAATCCCAAAGATTTAAGCAGCAGGAAAAGTTTGATCAATACATCCTAATCTGAATTATGACTCATAACTCCTTATCTCAACCAGAATTTTCATCTAGAAATGCTGTTCTGCATTGCTCTTTCCTCTATAAGTCATTATAACAGAATTCAGAAATTAAAACAATTTCAGTTATGGAAAAGCAACTGTCTTGAGAAATGTTTGTTTCAGTGACTGCTTTTGAGGTTGTTTCAGTTGTAGGCAAATAAAGCACAAGACTATCTTTTGAAACCCCAGCAGAAATTAAGGTAGAATAGGTTAAGCCACATTTTTTTAAAAATAAAAATCAGAAGTTTAATTTGTAATGGGACATGGTGAGGCTATACAAGATAAGCCTGCCTTTTATTATGTGCTATCAGATAAATAGTAACTATTGTGACAGTGTAGAATGCATGATGGTATACAGGCCACAACATAGGTAATTTTTTTTTTTTTTTTAATTATACATTATAAGATGGGGGAGTGAGACAAACCTGCATAAACACTGACACAAGCCATGACTGTCAAATACAAAGTTGCATCTTATTTAGAATTACATGATGCTAACATGTTTGTAAAACATCATGGATTTGGAATGAATGTACTTTGTGCTCTTACCTGTTCCAACAGAGCTTCCAGAACAGGTTACTGAAATGACATGAAACAGTTATATTAATGTTAGGTGTCAGGTTGTAAACTGGAAAACATTAGTAGTCTGTAGAATGTAGTCTATGCTATACAACTGTGCAATCCCATCAGATAGAAGTAGTTTTAAAATGGATTAGATTTATGCCCTGGGAAAGGAATCCCAAGGAAATTACTACCCCTTGAAACAATTTCTACTTTAAAAATGTGCTTAGGGGTGGTTCTTAGAAGTTTTTGATTTGTTTGTTTATTCAAAAACAGTAATTCTATAAAAAAATTAGAAAACATACAATTAAAAATCCTCATTTATTTGCTTTTGTATTCTAACAGCTACTGCCCTCCTAACTGAAAATTAACTTCTCTATATTCACCAGGTTATGAGTGATCCAGTTCAGAGGCACCTGTAAGTGCATAAGTATGCCCAGTCCCAAAATGCTCCTGTGAAGTTCCCATCACAGACACTGCAAGACAGCACCCATAAAGTTTACTCTGGAGTCAACACTAGAATACAAAAATTCTATTCCATGCCACCTTTACTCACATAACTTTGGCTTACATTTTAATCATCTAGCATGCATGGACAAAAATACATCATTCAAAGAAATTTAAGTTTTACCTGAATATATTTTTTTTTTTTTTTGACAAAATGTAAGCTTTGGCCCCTTATCTCTAACTGGAGACACTACCACTGTGTAGACATCCCCACAAGGTATCTCAGCAATGTCACAGTTACTTAGACCTGAACTAGGGGTACAGGTGAAATTGCCTTTTAAGCCACGTAAATCAGTATTGCAGTTTATTGTTTCATCAGAAGCTTGCCAGTATGCCCTGATGCTATTATTGCCGAGTCTGTGTAGCTTCACCCCAGATGGGCAGCAAGCACCTAATAAAATAAGAAACATTAATAAGGAAATTTTGTGAACGTGCAACACATTTTTAATTCCTAGAGTTAATATGATTACTATTGCACTAGATACCAACATTTCAATGAGAAAATATTATTTCACAGAAAGCCAAAGTAATGCTTGAACTGAGCTAGGGAAGAAAATGTTCTATCAGACTCATGTTATGAAGCTGGAATTCAGCCATTGTTTTACACGGCTGACTCTCCTGACTATGGAGGCACCAGAGCTATACCATCATGCATTCTACACTATCACAATAGTTACTATTTATCTGATAGCACATAATAAAAGGCAGGCTTATCTTGTATAGCCTCACCATGTCCCATTACAAATTAAACTTCTGATTTTTATTTTTAAAAAAATGTGGCTTAACTTAACCTATTCTACCTTAATTTCTGCTGGGGTTTCAAAGGATAGTGCCCAGAATTCTTTTATGGTCTCTACAATTTAATTATGCCATAGCATATTTTAAATTGAAAAATTGGTTCTGAAGCAATATTATCAAAACTTTATATGGCCACCTGTTGGCTGTTATAAGAACAGGGTTTTAATTATATGTGACAATAATCCAAAGTGCATTTATTTGAGAGAAGGAACTGTATTAACTATGTATTGAATTTCACCTGCACTATTTGTATGAGAGGAACACTATACAAAGTAAATTGCATATTGAGTCTTTTTCTTCCCAATTGCATTTACAATTTACATACTGGAAGAATATCCTTGATATGTGCAAGTGGATGTCAAGCCCATTTCACCGATTGCTTTCGGAGATACTGTATAGTTAGTGCCGCGTGTGATGCATCCCAGGAGACAGTAGTTTTGAAGAGTGTGACACTTTGTTTATCCTTTTGGAGACTCCAGTGTTGTTACATATGTCTGTGCACCCATCCCAACAGACCAGCTGATATTTGTTACAGACTGTGTCACTTGAGTTATTATCAGGTCATTAGGGCAACAAGGAGCTTAAAAAGAACAAAAAATAGAGAAGTCAATTCTTTTTTTGTACTTGGAAAATGGAAGGGTTTTTTGGGTGTTGCAACTAGAATAATACATGATCAAGAGCAAAGGAATGAAGACGTGCATACTTTTCAAGCAAATGTTAGCATGTTGAAAACCACTTGACTATTCTGGCAAGCTTCTAATAAACGGAGCATCAGTATAAGATTGATGTGTCTCTAAGAGTGAGTTATGACCCTGGAATTACTATACGATGATTGTTCACCAAGATACTAAAAATTACTAAAATTTGTTGTCAGAATATCAGGGTACATCTGTAGCACGGTCCATCTCTATCCCTCAAGTCATATAGCTCAGGCCAGCTCTGTCTCTGTTTAAAGTCTCTTCCTCTACAGTGCAAAATAACTGCAGCCAAACTGCCTGTTAAAAACACATCCTGGTGTACATTAATCTCTGAACTGTGCCTGCAGATCATCTGGGTAAGTGGTACAGGACAAAACTCTGCTAGCAAATTAACAGGAGGAATGGTGGGAAGGATGTGCTTTTATCTGTTCTTCACAGTGTTTGTTTATTGACATGGACGTCACCTCATTGCCTCTCCCAGTAATATTAAAAGTCAAAATGCTGACAAGTTATAGGATCAGAGGATCATCGGATATCCTGAGTTGGAAGGGACCCATAAGGATCATGGAGTCCAACTCCAAGTTATGCATTACATTAGTGGACTATGTTATTAGATTTTAGTTAGCGGTACCAGATGATGATTGGTTGCACTAAGGCTTCTCAGTATGAGGCAAGTGATCCTTCCTTCTCACACACACATAGATGGACACACATTTAGGCAGCGGACATCCAGCATCCAGCAATAGCTAGTATAATATGCATACATTGTAATTAAAAAAAAAAGTGCCAAAATCATATAAAGATACATAGAATTATTTTAATATTATGCTGCTAAATATTTTCCACTATATACAATTCCCACATACCTGTCTCCAAAGGGACACTGTAGCTTGGTAAGCTCCGTCCTGCTGGTGATCTTGCTATAGCACTAACAGAGAAAGCAGATCCACAGGGAAGGTTAACTAGGGTACAAGAATTTCCAGAGCTTGTGCAATGCCAAAGCCCAGCCTCGCCTCTGGCAGTGACAATATAGGTAGCTTCTTCATTGGTAGATTGCCAGCGCACACTGATTACAGAAAGAGCCTCCTTTGAGATATTTTTAATTTCAGGACTGCAGGGAGCTGAAATATTTCATATTAACAGTATTTAAACAGATTGTTTATGCATACTATTTAAGTTACACATGAAAATTAAATTCCTGTTAGAACTGACAAACTACTTTGGAAAAGTATATGATCCTTAAATGTTTACTCCTGGTGAGAATTTAGAACTTGTGACGGAACTGATAACATAAGGATTTTGCATACAAAACCAGAGATGAATTGTATATCTGATTTTCAAAAACTTGGAGCTATCAGAAGCTTTCAATCCAAATCTGGTTTTAGGTCCCTGCTTACAGTGTATTTTTAAGGAAATCCAGTAATTTTTAAAAATTTTTATCAGTTACAGTAACTTAGCACTCCAGTAATGCTTTTTACCCATGAATCACTGCGGTGTCTGACTAATTGTTTCTTCTGCTAAAGGAAAATAAGAATGATCATAATACCTGTTGCCAGGTACTTAGATGCACATGACGGGTTGCTGCCCCTGGCCTCACTGAAAGAATAAACTCTGACATTATATCAGGTGTTGCACTGCAGGGCAGATAAGGTGCAGGCCGTGGCGGTGTCGTTGCAGAGCACGGCGCCGCTCCAGCCAATGGCTCTCGTTTCGTACAGTTCAGCACCACGGACAGGAGCCCAGGTGATCTGCATGGTGTCGCTCGACACGAACGCGGCCCTGACGTCGCTGGGGCAACAAGGTGCTGGGAATACACCAGGCAGAGAGGGAAACTTGAACGTGAACTGAAAACTGGCACAAAGCCAAGAGCCTTGTTTCAGTTATCTATGTGCTTCACAAATCTCCAAAGGTGACTGATATTGCGCAGTCTCATTAATCCCAGGCTTACTACTTGAATTAATTCCGTACCCCTCCTTCCAAATCAATAGAGGACATTCTAATGCTTAGATAAGACATAGGAATTACATATAGCCTTGATTTAAAATTTCAAAGCATCTAGAGGTTAAATAATTCTAACAATGTTCTTCACAATTTCTCATTGAACTCATAATTTTTTCATTTTCCAAATACAAAAACTCTCTATGAGGAAGTTTAAGACTTTGGTCCACCTTTCCTAAAGCAATCGAAAAAAACCCCCAGGACTAGAATTTAAATGTTATGCCAGAACTGTGTGTTATTCATATGGCCTTGACTGAAGATTGTACATTGTTGAACTATTTTCAAGTTTGTAAGCACTTGACTATGCAAGTTAAATTCAACTGAAATGTGAAACGGTTCTTTTTCTCTGCCAACTTTTGTGTGTTTTGCCCAAAACCTGAATAAAAATAGAGGTTTAAATTGTTATCTTCCAATAAAAATGTCCCATCAACTCTATCATAAACATAGCTAAAGGATCCAAAATTAATTTGCAAGAATACATTGCTACTTACCAGTGGTGTAATTGAAAAAATCACCTAAAGGACTCTGCCCTGCCTTGTTATATGCAAAGACACTAATGAAATAAGTGAAGCCACAGTCTGACTGGAAATGGCATTGAGTATGTGATGTGTTGCTGTGCACTTCCAAGCCATCATCACTCTTCACAAAAACCACATAATAATGACCAAAATTGACAGTAGACCATGATGCTAACAAGTGGCCAGGTTCATCCTCTTCAATTGATAGATTTACTGGTGCACAAGGAACTGGAAAAAAAAAATTAAAAAAGAAAGAAGAAAATAATTGTAATCAGAATATTTTTATTTATACTTTTGGGAATAAAGGAAAATGAGGAATATATAGAATTATTCTACTCAGCTTGAACAGTTGTTCTGTCTTGTTCAAGAAAACAGCAAGTTATCTGCCCTTACAGAGGATGCTACTTACATTTAGATGAAAAGTGGGTATGATTTTTACAGAACAAAATAGATGCTACCTTCATGTTTTACAGAAAACAGATCTGCTTAAGGAACCCCTGTGAACAAAACCAGTGGCACCGGGTAGTACTTCAAAGGAACTGGCACAGTCTGTGCTCACAAACAGTAGTTTTGGATGACAACTGGAATACTGGCTTGAATAGCAGTTGGCATCCGAAAGCCTTTATGTGAAAACCCTTCATATATTGGTATGAAACTCACTGGCTGTGTCTGAATAGAGCAGTCCTTTGCTCATGTTTCCTTTCTGGTGGCATCCCAAAATGTCACATTAAACTGTGAACTCCATGGCTTTTGCTTAAATAACATTTACTTTCTAGTGGAAATAGTTTAGCTTGCTGCTATTAGAATAAATATTTGCTTGTATGGGCAGTTCATCTAACAGGTCAGGAAGCAATCACCTCTGACATGGCAGTGGTGCTAAGTAATGAGCAACTTTTTGTCCTGATGAAGCTGCTACCTGAGAATGGTCTGTGACAACATCTTAATTTAGTCTAGTGGTGCTACTTCAGCTGAATGTGGTTTTGTTGATCTCCTTTCTAACTAACAACTAGATTTAGCCTAGAACAGTTCTCAGCCTAGGGGCAGTCCTTAATGCTATTTCCTCACAGATTCCTCCCAATCTGTTCATGACAGACCTGACACAGTAGGACAGATCCGTTTATTCCTTACATTAGTTTCACACTCAGAAAATTGACTTTAGAACAGGTGCTTCTGGTAAGAGGAAAATGCAAGCTTACTGGTTCAGCCAACGATATATACACCATTGCAAGTTTTTCTCACAGAAATATGAAGTAAGTTTAGGCTATTATCTCCAAAATAGAAAGGCATGTGGCACAGTTCATGCATGAAGTTCAGAAGGAGAAATAAATATTTGAGAACCACTTGTGAATCGTAATGGACCAATTTACATTTGAAATTAAAGAAATATAAGTTAAAATGCTGTAAGGTATATAAGGATCAACGACACATACTAGTTTTTAAGCTTACTGCATCAGTAGGCTTACAAGGATCAACGACACATACTAGTTTTTAAGCTTACTGCATCGGTAGGCTCACTAGATTGAGCATCATTGTATGCTGTGACAGAAACATAATACTCAGAGACACACTGGAGAGATGGCACCACGCAGGAGGCAGAAGATGTGTTACACTTCAGTTTCAAAAGTCCAGTGCAGGCTGTCACACTGTAAGTTAGAGCTCCTTCTGTTGGCATCCAAGAAACAATAGCTTTTAAAGTACCACTATTAAAAGCTACTTGAACATCCGCTGGTGCATTAGGACCTACGGTATATCAGTTTGAAACACATAAATACAACTTATCATATGGCCTACAGGCATGATCTTGTCCATAAGTTGCAAACTAAATACAATTTTTGTGGTACAGACCTCACCCTCATTTATATGAAAGTGACAATTTTTTAAAGAAATAGTTCTAGGTGTACACCATCAGAAAGCCTCCTGTTGAAACTCCTTGCCGTATTTGAATATTTGCTTCTCAGTTAGAAAAATCCTCAAATCAGTCTAAGCTTGTGTAATCCTTACCCAGGCCTGTCCTAGGTACAACTTTAGTGGTAGTTAATGGTATCTTTGCCTCAGTAATATTCATTAAACATAGCCATGTTATCTGAGCTTTCATGAACTTTGAGATGGGGTAAAAATTATATGATCTGAAAATTTACCCAATGTATCTTTGAAAAACATAACACAATCACACGTGCACATAAATACTTCCTGGTATATCCTTTTTTTTTTTTTTTATGTTTACTTGAATTCAGGAAAGAAAATTTCTTACCTGTTCTTTGGTTATTTGTGAAATCATCTCCAGGTATCCCATTGACACTCCAGGCATATGCCTTGATAGTATAGAGAGTTCCTGGGTCTAGATTTGTAAATATCGAGGATGTATTGGTGGTGGTCTCCTTCAGCATTCTGCCCAAACCATCTGATCTCATGAGGGACACAGAGAATCCAGCTGCCATATACACAGCTTTCCAGCTCACTGCAATGGAGTCACAACTCGGAGAATGAACAAACAAAATTGGAGCAGCCAGGACTGTTGAGAAAGAACACTGATTAAGCTTTTGGTTTTTTGCTAATACCGTTTGAAAGGGCCACATTTGAAATGAATACATAGAAACAACAATCACCAAACTCTTGAGAGACAAATTCAGCGACAACAAAAACAGAAAAATAAATTAATGCAAGACTGACAGAATAAATATGAAAACTGATTTGGTGCGTCCATTATGATATTTCAGGTTTTGTAAAATGAATGTAACTCATACACAAAGTATGAAAGGTTGAGTGCGTAGAAGAACGAAAATCACCAAGATACTGCGTGTTCTTGTCCTCTAAGTTTTACATTGTCTTATTATTTTTATACTTTTAGTTGTTTCTTCATTTCTTCCATTCCCTCAAGTTATGTCTTTTGTTAAATTCTGATTTTGTTAAAATAAAATACATATATTCATACAAATTCTAGCAAAATTTCCTGTTAGATATTTAACATACAGTACTGTCACAAAGTAAACCATTAGTTCAGACTCTTGTCCTGGTCATTAAGTCAGATGGCTGAATTTTAGTCCTCAAAAACTGAAAGGAGAATGTGATCAATACAATTTAAAAACACAAGATTATAATAATTCAGTACTAGTACACTCCTGGGCTATACTGTTCTTTTCTGTTCAAATTTTAAGAAAAAAAGAAAAAAAAAAGGATGCTTGCATGAATGCTTTATATCATAATAACATTACAGAATTTAATTTGAAATAAGCATTTGAAAGTCCACCTGTTTTTGAAAGGTGATGGCTGGCTTTTTCCTCCTGAATTTATAGATCTGATAGTGATCCTGTACAAGGTGGCAGGTTTCAGTCCCGTCACTGTGCCTGCAGAATTTGTAACTACAGTTTCAATGAAGGAATCTCCATCTTGTGCAGACAGCAGATAACTAATAGCCCCAGGTACCACTCTCCATTCCACTGTGATGCTGTTGCTAAGTTTTGAATAAGCTTGGTCAATAACAGGTATGTCTGGAGCTAAAAGGGAAATAACGATAGACATATTGAAGTTGGGGAACTCAGCCCTGTGAAACGCTAAGTGCTCTGAACATTTCACAAAGACTGGTCAGGACAAAAGGCCTACCCTTTCTATGAATGTTTAAAATTTAAGTTAAACGAAGCTTAAATGAACATTAAAAAACTACACAGAGTCTTGAGATATTCTAGACCAACTTTCATCTTTCAATAAAAATATTCTAGTACCCTTGAAATCACTATTGAAAATGACCATTATTTAACCTAGGTTGCACTGAGAGGTCTCTTTTTTGTCTTGCTCTGTAGCCAATTAAGTATACTGGATGTTTACAGAAAGCAATATACAAAGCTATATATACAAAGAAGCAGCAGATGTTTATACAAAGCAGTCTGAAATAGGAAGCTGAATCACAGGTATTTCTATATCAGAGCAACATACAAGAATTTAGTTTGGAAGGGACCACAGGAAGTCTTCTTATCCAACCCCCTGCTCAGAGCAGATATACTTAGATATACAATAACATGACACATCAAATATTGCAATAAAATCCTATTTCTATTATTATGCTATGCTGCAGGCCATTCAGAAAGAGTCTGCTCTTGTGTACTGCAGTCACAAACATAACTACAGAGGGTGTATTTCTTAGCCACGAGTAACTTAAGTTCAGTAGTCTAGATTTTCAGACTAGAATCAGCATATATAAAGCAAGTACGTATGTTGCAAAGCTGCAAAAACTCACTAGAAGAGAAATAAAAGATAAAATGAAGGTGTATTCCACCTAAAATTAAGAAAAGGAATGAAAACATATTTGGGACAACATTATGTGCCTTGAAGCAAACTTATTTATAGCACGGCAGCTAATTTGGGATTTCAGAGACCCTAGCAAGCATTATACATGACTATATAACTCCTGATCATTATGTCTGCTCTCTTAGTCCCAAGCATTTTCTTATTCCGCTACAATCAGATATCCTCTTGTGCCCATTTGTAAAAATGGTAACATGTACTTTATATGACCATGCCTATGGGACATTTGCAGGTGTGCCTTGAGCGAGCTATTGCACTATGGTTTGGTTGGGGTTTTTTTTCCTTTTAAAATACTATCTTTAGTAACAATTCATAAAAATTTCCTACGCAAGTCTAAGGGATTTACTTGCCCACCAGTCAAGTAGAGAATATATACCACTTGATTTATATCAGAAATAAATTACAGAACATTAATATCTGTTCTCACACAACTAAGCTAGCCATAGAGGTTTTTATATACTCATCAGGATAAACACAGCTACTTTTTTATTTTCAATTTTTATTGTAATAGTTACTTTTATAAGAAACAAATGCTAATGGAAAAAAATTGGCTATTTCTAAAAATTATCAGTTGAAGTATTTTAAAAACAGAATTTGAACAGAATGTTTTTTCAATTACATTTCAGTGATGAAATGAAAAAGCACTTCTATTTATGCAGATTGTCCTTCAATATCCATCGATGACTTATATGGTACAAGGCCTTTTGTGAATGAAACACAAATACCATTTATCAGCATCAGTACTGAAAAATGTATATAGCTTCACATCTGTATTTCATTTCATTCATTATGAAAGGGTAGGTGATTTGGAAAGCTGCAGTCTGAGCAAGCTGTGCGTGGCAGGTCAGGGAAACATATATATTACAAAAAAAAGCAGTGGAGAAAAGGAGCTAATCATGCTAATATTGAACTCAGTAGGAGAACCAGCAAAAGGCTTCAACAGGAATGGCAGCTATTCCCTACCAGTACAATGAAACATCAAGGATAAAATTCCAGTCCTACAGAGGTCAATGGAAATTATATTTCACAAAGTTTCTCTCACTAACCTGTTGACCACATAATTTGTGTTTCTGCAAGAATAATTCCATTCTTGTCAATGTTTTCTGCTTGTATAGCATAAATAGTATTGGGAATTAATGAAGTTAGAGTTCCTTTAAGTGTAACATCACTAAAGCGAGCCAGTAATGAATGTCCTACAGTATTCACAGCTATAGCTGTGACTCTGTAAGATGAGGCTCCTGAAAACTTGGGCCATCTGAGATAAACACTTCTTGATGTCACATCATATATAGACAAAGAGAAACCTGGAAAAAAAAAATATTGAACAAACATTTCAGTCATTCCTGAATTTAGTCAAGTCTTGACAAGAAGATTGTTCAGTGCCTTATCAAGAATCTACGTGATCTAATTTTCAGAAGATAGGTATTCCACTGCATTTGTAGTGCTATCTCCCTAGTTAACTTTTGTAATCCATTAATTACTGTAATAACTGCTGCACGCTCTCATAATATCATGTTGTGATGATTGCTGTTTTTCTTAAAACCTCCATATGTTGTAGTCTTAATTATTTAAAAAAATACTGAGTATAATCCGTAAGTGACTATACAACAAGTGTCAACAGTATTCCACACATGAATAGGATCAAATGCTTGTTTTGCAAACCATGAAAAGAATATGCTATAGCAAATGTCCAGATACTGCAACAACATGTCTGCAATGACTAAGATTTTAGGCTCTTTACAGTGCAGTATATGCAGGAACATATACTATCACCAGAGAACGAATGAATTCTGAGAGCACTTCTTGTTATTTCGCATTCTTCAAATTTTAAACTAAGCAGTATTCACATTTAAGGCAATAGGAGCTGTAGGCACAAAATACGAGACTGAAGAAAATAAAAAATTTTATAAACCATTGGAAATATTTCTGCTTAGGAGACCATGCTTCTTCTGGTATTTTTTGTGTGTGATTTTTTTTTTTTAATTAAAAGATACAACAAATAACTGGGTGCAAATATGGGACAGTTTGAATCCTATTTGTAGCACAGTTATATAGGTAATGAACAGCACAATTTGTCCAGCCCAGTGTTCCCCCTGGTTCACACTAGTGTCAAGGCACAAGTGATCTGTCAGAATCTTTGTGCAAGTGTCCAACATAATTGGGACTCCTAAAAATAAGGTTTAAAATCTATAAAGATATCAATATAGATTTTTAAAGCTGAATCAAACTTGAAAACAATTTTTATTTATAAAGTTGCTGGAACTTACAGAATGTTTTATTAAAAAACACATGTGTGTATTCTCTTCAGACCCATTCAAAAATAAGCAGCCAAAACCAAAATACCACTTTGAAGATTTACCTGTGTTAGCTGAAGAGATCTGAAAAGGAACATGCAAAAAAAATTAGAAACATTGAGTGAAATATTTTATTTGGAAAATTAAAAATCTAATAACATTAGTAACAACAACTTAAAATATTACATATTTTTAAAACATATTTTCCTGATTCGCTCAGACTCTTTATGCACGGGAAGTTTATGCAACCAGTGAGATCTCGTTCAGGTATGCAGTTCATATTAGTTCTTCATTTTCCTCTCTGAATCTCCCTATTGATCCAGTTTTCAGTTGTAGACAGACTTCAAAAGATCTGGAGTCCTAATGTATTATTTTATTTTTCAGTCACTTGTAAACACTGCAAAAGTGTAATACTAACAAACTCTATGTCACATAGTGTCTACCGTAACAGTTAGTTTACTTTTACAAAGAGTACAATATCATTCTTGAAAATAGTTTTGAAGCAAATGAGTTGCACTCACCATTTTCAGGCAGTTGAAAAACAGTCCAAGAAATACCAATGATTTACTTGTCACACTGCACATCTTGTCAGAACTTTGTTCCAGCCTTCACATGGGGATGAACTCAGGGCGCTTCCTGCTGTGACCAGTAATATTTTGCAGCAGCGCTGTCACCGTAGGTTTACTCCCTGGGACGAGAGGAGGTCGCGTTAGGTTGGGGCCTCCTCCCTGCCACACTAGAGCCTGCCAGCGGTTACCAAAACCATGGTGAAATGAGTCCGACACAGCATTGAACTTTTAGGCAGGTGAGTGGTGGGGTTTTTCCCCCTTCTGTTGCAGGATGCAGTTTCTGCATTGCATATGCAAAATGCATAAAATAATCAAGCCCAGCATAAATTCTGAATTTGCTGTTCAGCTTATTATCTGTTGCCTTTTTGTCTACTTACAAGGATCTTTTTTTCCTGTCAGGAATGACACCCTCATCATATTCCCTTTTGAATGGAACACAGCCATACCGACTGGAAAACACTCTTCCTTGTGCTTTGCGTTGCAGAGAGAAATTTTCCTCTCAGTCCTGTGTATTGGTACCAGCTGCTGGTTCGTCTTTGACAACACGCCTTGATGTCTTCAAACTATAACTTCTGACAGATTTTAGGCGTCAAGAAAGGGTATCCTTCTATGACCCGATAGTGTTTTCTGCGGTGGTTGACACAAACATAACCGGGAACCTGGGGACCGTTTCTATGAGGGAGCCACGCGGTAAGGAAGGTTTTGCACCCCGAGGGGACCCAGGACCAGGGCAGATTTCGCGGAGGCTCCCTGACCAGGCGGTCTTCCCGCCTCCGCGGCTGCTCCCCACACCGCACAAGGAGCCCACCTCGGAGCTCGGGAGGCGGCTCCCGGGGTCCTGGGTTCACCTTCTGACAAGCGACAGAACGCTCCTTCCTCATGGGGCAAGCCCTGGTCATCGGGTGCTTCCCCAGCGGGAATTTCAGACCCCATCATGACACGGAAACGGGGTCCTGCGGCTGGCTCAGCTCTCCAGGA